TTGTCTGCTGCAGAGGCCACCCCCAGCTCCCATCTTTACCCCAGAGTCAACTACAGCCCATCCCCAGTGCCTACCCCTAAAATCACTGCCCACTCCAAAACCTGGTTTCGGTGATCACTACCCTTCACCCCCCAGATCCTCTACTTTCTCCAGTCTCCTTGCCTACCCCAGAAACTACCTCCAGTGATCTTGCCTCTGTGAGGTCTTGCCTGCCCCAGGGCCTGCCCCCAATGCCTCTGCATGCACCAGGGCCTGATCCCAGACTCAACTCCAGAGGTCCTGCCAGCCCCAGAGCTCACTCCCACTGGCCATCCCAAAATCCCTGCCCACAAAGTCTGGTCCCAATGCCACCCCCAGACCACCTGCTTTCCCCAGTTCCATTGCCTCCCTCAGAATCCACCTCTAGTGCCCTCCCCAGAACCTCTGCCCACCTCAGAGCTAGATCTCAGGGCCCACTCACAGGGCCTTGACCTCCCCAGTGCTCCTGCCTGCCCCAGAGTCCCTGCCTGCTCTAGTGCCCGTCTCCTCTTCCCACCCCATAGAGCCCAAGGGCTCTATGGCTCAAGGGCTTTCAAGGGCTGTCTTCTAGTGCTAAGCCTCAGAGCCCAAGTCCCATCCCCTTGCCAAGCATCTGTCCCCATGAATGCCCACTCAGAGTCCTGCCCCCCATGGCCCATCCCCTGTGCCCACCTCCTTAGCCCCTGCCCAACCCAGAGCCTAGTCACAGTACCAACTACTAGAGCCTTTGCCCATGCCAAGGTTCTTACACTCCCCAGTTCTCATCTCCAATGTCTCTGTCTCACCCAAAGCCAAAGCTAATATCCCTATCTCCCTCAGGGCCCTCCACCAGTGCTCCTGACTGGCCCAGAGGCCTTGCCTGCCCCCGTGCACACCCCCTGCCCATCTCAAAATTTTGTCCTAGTAACCACCTCCCAGAACCCCTGCCTTTTCCAATTCCTCTGCCCACTCCAGGGCCTACCTCTAATGACCCTATCTGCCCCAAAGGCCTTGCCTGTCACAGAACTCACCCTCAGAACCTAGCTCCAGAGCCACTCCCCACACTGAGTCTGATCCCAGTGCCCACCCCCAGAGCCCTTTCATGCCTCATAGCCCTCCCAGTGACTTGCCTTCCTAAGAGCCATCCTCTAGTGCCTAGACCCCAGACCCATGCCCTCCCCCTTCCTCCTGCTTACCTCAGGGCTCACTCCTAGTGCTCACTGCCACAGAACCTGCTTACTCCAGAGTATGCCCCCCAAACCCACCTCTGTAGTTCCTGCCCATCCCAAAACCTGGTCCTAATGACCATCCCCCAGAAACTTTGTCCTCCTCATTGCCCCCTTCCTGTCCCAGAGGCCCTACCTGTCGCAGGACCTGCAGCCAATGACCACCCCTAGAATGTTTGCCCATCCCAGAGCAAGATCCCTGATGCCTTGCCCATCCCAGGACCCACCCCTAGTGCTCATTTCTAGAGCCCTTGCTCACTCTAGGGTCTGGCCTAAGTGGTCTCCCTCAATATCCTTGTCCATCCCAGAGCCCCTTTCCCTAGCCTCCATTCCTCCATTCTTCCTGCTTCTGAATACTATCTCTAGTACTGAGTACTGTACTAGTACACTAGCACACTAGTACTAAGTACTGTCCTGTACTAGCTCTCCTAAGCCCTAGTTAAGGTGTCCCAGCCCCTATCTCCACTGCTTGCCCCCCTGAGCACTTACTCACCCTAGAACGGGACCCCTGTGTCTCTTCCTACCCAAGGACCCACCCCTACTGCCTATTTCCCCAACCCTCTGCCTTCCCCAGTGTCCCTGCCTGCCCCAGAGTCAACTGCTGCCCAATGGCCCATTCCCACCTCAGAGCCTGGTCCCAGTAAACACCCCAGAGCACTTGTCTACCCTAGAAGCTCTGCTTGCACAAGGGTCTGCCCCTAGTGTTCCTGCCTATCTCAGAGACCTTGCCTGCTCCAAGATCTGTTCTTGGTGCCTACCTCTAGAGCCCCTGCCAGCTTCAGAACCCTCTCCCAGAATTTCTGCCTGCCCCAGGATCTACCCCCATAGTCCCTACCCACCCTAGTTCCTGGTCTTAGTGACCACCTTCAGAGCCTCTGCCTGCCCCAGACCCCATGGCCCAGAGCCCCTACCTGCCCAAGAGTGGGGCCTCAATCTTCCCCTGGTCCTAGATCCCACATCCATCCATCCCAGGCAGCCAGCCTCTCCAGGCCCCATGTCTGTCCAGGACAGCACTGACTCTTTCCCCACCCCAAGCCTCCCACCTGACCTGGGCATTCCTACTACCTTGAAATCCCCAGTCAGGCCCAATAGCACTTTACCCCTTCCCTGCCCTGAATAGTCCTGTGCCCTACCCAACTTTCTGGCCCTGGGGAACATTGCCCCTTCTCCCCCTGCCTAGCCCAGGCCACCCTGGGTGATTTACTCACCTCCTGCTTGGTTTGGGCAGCCCTGACCCTCCCGTCTTCTCCATTCCCTTCTCAGATAGCATCCTGACCCTTGGCTCCCTGCCTGGCCTGAGTAGCCCAACCCCAGGTCAGGCCCTGATCTCCTTGCCTCCCAGCCCTGATCTCAGTCCCTTCTGTGACCCAAGTTACCTTGCTTCCCAGTCCCTATTCCTGCTTTTTTCTCTCTACTTATCCAAAGCCATTTACTCACTCCAGGATCCCAGTTCCTCTTTCATCCCATCTCCTATATAAACCTCTCACACTGATCCAATGGAACTCAGACCTTATCTCCTCTCTTTCCAGTGCAAACCCAAAGTGACCCTCTCCACTTCACTCTCCTCCTGCTTGGCTCCAGCAGCCTGCAAGACCCATTCTTTCCTCCAAGTCATTCCCCCAGAGCCTCAATCCCCTTTACCCCCATCTCAGATTTTTTTCAACATTGACCCAGAGTGTTTTTCTCCCCCCTCCTCCATCTGCCCTCAGCCCCTATCTCCATTCTTTTCTGCAACAAGCAAGGTTTTCCCCAGCCTCCATTCCTCCATTCTTTCTGCTTCTGAATACTATCTCTAGTACTTAGTACTGTACTAGTACACTAGCGAGCTAGTACTAAGTTCTGTCCTGTACTAGCTCTCCTAAGCCCTAGTTAAGGTGTCCTAGCCCCTATCTCCAGATTTCCTTCCAATTCTGATTCAAGGTATCCCCAGTTCCCTTTCCTCTTCATGCTCTGATTTATGCTTCCTTCTGTTCCAATCCAAGGCAACCCCACACCCCTATTTTAGCTCTTTTCTTCAACACTGACTCAAGGTATCCTGTCTCCTCTCTACTTCCTGTATTCTCTCCAAAGCTTACTGTTCTCTCCCTCCTGCCCCTACCTCTTCCTACCTTTGACAGATCTTGCTTTTATTCTAACTTCAGTAACTTCCCCTTTGTCCGCCACTGCCTGCTGTGTCTCTTATAACTGAGCTGCCATAGCATCCTAGGTGGGAGCTTCCCTGAGACAGAAGGGGATGCCCAGGATGAACCACTGACAGTGAAGAGGGGTGAGCAATGCCCTTTGACCTCAGACACTAGGAGACGTGACATTATCCTGATGAACTCATGGGTAGCTTAGGGTTTGGGTCTGAATTGTATTTCCAGGGTAATCAGAGATCTTCCCCATTTCTAACCTATGTTATTCAGCCAAATATGACTGGTTCCACTGTTCAAGACCACTAGTATGGGTGGTGAAATCCTAGAGGCTTTATACTGATTTTCTAGGAATTCCAGATAGACAAAATGTTTGGATAAGATCCTGCATCTTGGTCCAGGTCATACCCATTTCGTAACATTTTACCTTTACCCCTTCCTGTACTTCCTTGGGTTCCCTAGTGCCAAGAGATCTATCTGTGCAGCATCAGCTCCTTTTTAAAGGTACAGTATACTATACACACTGGAGAGCATAATACTGTCTGCCTACTGGATATTCAGGCAAGTTTTGTTTCCCCCTGGCTTCAACTCCTGTGTGAAATTCTCACATCTGCTTCCTTGCTCTCTGGACCCAGAGAATGGCACAAGTGTGTCAGAAAAGGTGTAAGTCATCCAAAGCTGGAGAAACCCTCTATGACATGCTGGAGCTGCCTCAGGGAGCAACACCTGAAGAGATCAGGAAAGCCTACAGGTCTGAACTTAAGCACCCCCATCAAGCCTTTGACCCTCGTATCCCTAAACCTTAGACCATAAACCCCACTCACCACCACCCCCATTTTCAAATTATCTGACCCTTCCATTGAGACTGGGAGAAGGCAGCATCTCCTTGTCAGTGTGGAAGAAGGAAAAAAATTTTTCCTGTTTTCTTTTTTTTTTTTTTAAGCTAGGCAATGGGGTTGCTAGGCAATGGGGTTGCTAGGCAATGGAGTTACGTGACTTGCTCAGGGTCACACAGCTAGTAAGTATTATGTGTCTGAGTCCGGTTTGAACTCCGGTCCTCCTGAATCCAGGGCCGGTGCTCCATCCACTGCGCCACCTACCTGCCCCTTCCTGTTTTCTTTATCCTTGTTACTGCATCTCAAAATGTCTAGATTTCTCCCATGCTGTCTCTACTCCATGTAATCCAGCCATCTTCCTTTCCCCTCTCCAATTTGGGCTTGTTCTGTTGTTCCTCTTTATGCCCTCCCTCATGGGCAATGGCTGGTAGGAGATTGGCACTGAAGTACCACCCAGACAAGAATCCAGAAGACCCCGATGCAGCAGAGCGATTCAAAGAGATCAATGCAGCCCATTCAATACTTGCTGATCCTGATCAGCGCCAGATCTACAATATGTATGGTGCTATGGGCCTATATATGGCTAACCAATATGGCTCAGAAACTGTCAAAATCTATTTCGTTGTGACTAAGTGGTGGTTCAAGGTATGCATTCCTTTGAAGTCCCTCCAGTCTTTGGGCAGCAGAGATGCCCACACACTGGCATGTTGCCCTGTTGCTGTCAGTGTCAGGGAATTTGGGGGTGGGGGAGCATAGACAACACCAGAGGAGAAGCTGTTGGACTTAAGCCATTCTCCCCAATCTCCCAGTGCCTGGTCCTCTTGTGTACACTTCTTTCTTGTTGCTGCTGCTGTTGCTGCTGCTGCTTTTGCTGTGGGATGAGCGTACCACCAGAATATGAGTATTTTAAGTCCAACAGTGATCTACAGACGCAACATCCAGACACATAGGCAGACACAACGTCCAAGGACAGGTGAGGCCAAAAGAAAATGCCTAAGGTAAAATCTGGGCCAGGAGTGAAGGTAGGAAGGTCTGGAATGACAGGGATCTCTGAACCCAGGGTCCCCAAGAGCTAGGAGAATCAGGTCAGGGATTGGGTCAGATTGAAGGATAATCAGGGTATACAATCTGCAGCTTTCTCAAGGTGCATATAATTTGAGTGAATGAAAAAGCACTTATTAAGTGCTTACTGTATGCCAAGTGCTAGAGAAACAATACAAATAGTGAGATAGTCTCTGTCTTCAAGGAACTTCTAGTAGACATCACATACAAAGAAGTGGTGGTCTGGGAAGGGAACTTTGGTTTGGGGAATCAAGGAGATGTTGAGTTGATCTGCAGGACACTCAATTGACATACCCTTCCCAAAAGCAAGGGGTATTGTTGATTTGATTACTGAGCCTTAAACATGGGAAAAGGGGGGGGAGGAGAAGGAATGTCTGTAACTCATATGGTGAGATGGCTTGGATGTACAGCTGAATGGGATGAGGCACAGTCTGGTCTGGGGCTGCCTAGATGTATCCTTTATTGATAATTTGAGTATGACACCCTGTCTGGGGTCTTTGGGTTGAGTTGGGAGGTGAGCCTAAAAGAAGTCATAGAAGAAGGTGGGTTAGAACGTATACTTTATTTATGGTATTTGCTCAAAAGAAAACCAGGTTTTATTTTTCAAATTAAATGTCGACTGATTTGATTGATCAGTTTAATCTAAAAATGGTCTTTAAATTTCTGCCTCATCGCCATCTAGTGGTGACCAGGAGTAACGTCAGTGTAATGGTGTTAAGTATTAGATTAAGAGTTAAGACAGGAATTGTAGCTCATTTCAAGAAATGTTTGTATTCCAAATTTCATAGGTGGAACTGAAGATGCTTTCTACAATCTGAACCAAAAAAAGTATGATAATGAAGAGGCATAAAATGCAAAAACTAGAGTGCAATAGTATTCAAGGAGAAAAGAAGAAAAGGGGCTGAGGCAAATAATTAGTGATAACAATTATATAACTTTATCATTATTTTATCTTGATTACAAGTAAGTAATAAAAGTTTTTTTCTGTATACTTGCTTTAGGGGTTTCATCTTAATATGGTACTTGCTTCTTCTGTCTCCAGGTGCTGACCCTGTGAATGTGTCTTCTGCTGCCCAGTCTACTGTATACACTGAAGAAGGGGACCTCTAGCCCCGGTCCTGATATTAACCCCGCTCCTGTAAGCACCATGAATGCCATAGCATTGCTGAACTCTGGCCCTCTCCCTTTGAAAACTCTTTTCCTGACCTTCATGGTATCATCAAATCTGGCTAGATTACCATAAACCCCAACATTCTCTAAGCTCCAACCTGTGTATCTTTCCTAACTTGTCCCAAAACCTGAATACAGCTGGAAGCAGCATTATCTATTTCTTGCCATCCAAGCCTTGCAAAATCTTGGGCTGACAGGGCTGCTCTCTCCCCAAAAGAATTGTCTCTTGTTCCCATGTGCCTTAATGGTAACTAGTGGTAGCTGTGTCCCTAAGCTGTCTAGGATAATGTCTCCCTCAGAGGTAGCTGGTAGTACCGCTGAAAGAGCACTGGGTTAGAGTCATGAATTCAAATCTGGCCTCAGACATTTGCTAGCTATGTAACCCTGGGCAAATAATATAACCTTAGTTCCTCAACTGTAAAATGAGGGTAATAATAGCACCTATTTCACAGGGTTGTTATGAGGATTATATGTGTGTGTGTGTGTGTGTGTGTGTGTGTGTGTGTGTATACACATACATATCCACTTAGTACATGCCTAGCACGTAGTAGGCCCTATATGCATGTTTATTCTTCTTCCCCACCCCATTCCCTTCAGGGCAGGAGCCATCATGGAGGGTAGATCCTGTACTTGGTCTTGCTGTATCAATTCCCTCCATTCCTTTGGATCAGTAATCCCATGGCTAGGCTGAGCCCTAAACTTCCCTTCCTGGGGTGGGCCCCGTCTACATATGCCTCCTAGTATCCACAGTATCTGAACCACTTTATGCCACTGTTACTCAACTCTTAGGAATGAGGAGTAAAGAAGGGAAAAAGGTTACCATACTTTCCTAAATATTCTCGAGGTCCTTTCTATCAGCACAGGTACCCACCAGCCTTATGGTATTCTTGGGACATAATCTCTCTTCTTCCCTAAGACTCTTATTTCCAAGACGGAGATGTTAATTGCATCCTGGAAGAAAATGTGCTTCTCACAAAACATTCCCCTTTCTATGTCTTCTGTGGCAAAGTATTTTACCTATTTCAGTTGCTTTCCTCAAACATTCAACCAAAGGCCGGCCCATATAACTTCCCCTTAACTCAGTGAAGGGATCAAGCACTCTTTTGGAACAGGAAGCTCTGTGGGGTTGAGTATACATCAGTGAATAAAGGAATTATGTGCAGTCTCCATTGTGTGGGTTGAGGACAGAGAAGATAGCCTGGAAATGGTCTGTGGAAAAGGAGATGAGCACCAGGGTTCTAGTACCAGAGTTGACAAGTTTAATGACTAATTTGGTGGTATTTGGCAGGAGTTATGCCTTTTCTTATTGGGTTAAAGTTATTTCCCTTAAGACCTTTGACCCTGTGCCTCTCCCTTAGCGCCTATACTGAGTCCAGCACGTGGATGGAAGAGGACAAATTTTTTTCCATGAGAGAAATACTTTCAAAGATTACGCAGAAGAGAAGAAGAAACAGGTCCACACAGTCTTAAAAATGCACTCCAGCAAATAAATTTCAAGCTTTGATTGGAACTTTTTAAGTGCTGGCACTCCAGGTACCTATCTTTCACTAAAGTCGGATTGATGCCTCACTGGTCAAATGGAGGCAAAGTTGGATTCTTTATGACTATGCCAACACCAAACTCTGCCTGTTCCTATCAAAGCTAAAAAGGCTTTGAGTACAGGCTGGTGATACATACTTTACGTATGTCTGACGACTAACCTGGCTAAAGCCCGAGAGATTCATCATGAGCTTGGTCACAACAAGGTGATTCAGTTTTTTGCTCATAGCAATTCTTGAACATCTGTAAATTCAGGGGAGTTGTGATCTGCACCTGTAGAATGAGTTCCACATTGATGAAATAAATTGTCCTTGAATCTAGGTACCACTAGTCCATTGGATGCCAAATTCCAGGCTGACTTAGGCAGAGTCCTGGGGGAAATATGGGGCAAGGACCATCTTTTGCCATGAATCTGATACATTGTGGATAGAGAAAGGATTTTTGTGTCAGGTCCAAGATGTACCTAAATTTCCATTGTCCTTGCTAGGACTCTCCAGCTCTTGGGCCCTCTCAGCTGCTGAGCCATGGCTGGATACCTTTGCTGGGATTATTTGTAGGGTCATAGCCTCTGTGTCTAGGATAAGACCCAAGCTGGAGCACGACTGAGCAAGAACCAATGGGAGCCCTTTTAGAATCGGAGTGTGAAAGACTGAAGTATTCCTATCTCTTTTTCTGGCTCAGATTTGCCCCCTATTCCCAAAAAGGCTCTAGCCCCTCCTCCAGCCCCTAGTCTGTGTGAGTCAGGGTCACTTGTTTGGTGACAGCTGTGGATCGCCTTACACAAGCTAAATCGGGAATTGGAATGTGAGGGATTGCGTCACTGAAATGCCCCTAGTCTCCCCCATCCCCAAGTTAAAATTAGTCTCCTGCCTGAGGATTAAAGAACAAATAGCAGTACCTAAGTTGTGAGCAACAGTCGGCCATTTGGGAGCAGGAGATAAGACTATCCCAGGAGTGAAGGGAGAGTCATCCGAGGTGTGAGGGCAAGACAAAGCTTTCTTCATCTGCCTGGACACTCAGGGTAGAAAAATAAAGAGTAAGGAACAGTTCTCCAGAGAGAGAAAATCAATTGGCTACCTAGGGGTCACGAGGTGGATTGATTAAGGGACAGAACGGGGAGACAGAAACAACTTTAAGAAAAATCTAGACAGGCTGTAGCAAAAAAAAGGGGAGGCAACAGCTGAAGACAGACTCAGACAGCTGAAAGAATAAGCCAGGGTTGGAGAAAAGGCCAAGGAGGGGTGGGCACGACCACCGAGGGGATGAACTTCGCAGTGGGTTTCAAGCCACTGCTGGGGGATGCACACAGCATGGATAACCTGGAAAAGCAACTCATCTGCCCCATCTGCCTGGAGATGTTCTCCAAGCCGGTGGTGATCCTGCCCTGCCAACACAACCTATGCCGCAAGTGTGCCAATGACGTCTTCCAGGTGGGCTCAAAGTCTGAGGGGGGTGGTGGTGGTAGTGACGGGAAAGGAAGAGGGGATCCATTATTGATTAAAGTATGCTATCAAAGTTGGGGTTGGAAAATTGGATCCACAAATGCCGCTTACTGTGATACACTACTTTAGGTGGACAGAAGCTGTAGGAAAGAGGAGAGATTCATGAGGGTGGGAATAGTACATGAACTAGGCAACAGCTAGCTGCTTGTGGCTGAACATAGCAAAAAAGAACCTAAGGGGCCTAAGCAGACCACAAGCCATAAGACTGTTGACAATACAGGGTTTGCTTGTTTTGTAGTGGTGCTTAGTAGAGTGCCATGCACAAATAGTCAAAATATCAGACAAGACAAATATCAGATTTGTGGGTTGGATGTTAGTGTGGTTAAGTGGATTTAAAATTGGTTGAATGACTAATCCCCAAAAGTAGTCTTTTAATAAACACACACACGCGCGCACGCTCACACACACACACACACACACACGTCATATATATAGTCAAGCAAAACAAATTTCCATATTAGCCCTGTCCAAAAAAAGAGAAAAAAAGTCTAAATCTGCACTCTAAATAAGTAACATGTTTCATTAAGAGTCTTCTGGAATCATGATTGGTCATTGTGTTTATCAGGGTTCCTAAGTCTTTCAAAGTTGTTTGTCTTAACAATTTTTTTGTTATTGAACCAATTGTTCTTCTGTATTCTGGTTCTCACTTCCCTCTGCATCTACATACAGTTTATACATTTTTTCCCCAGGTTTCTCTGAAACCATCCTTTTCACTTCTTATAGCACAGATTACATCACATTTATACATCATAACTTGTTTAGTCATTCCTCACTTGGTGAACACTCCATCACTTTCCAATTCTTTGCCACTGCAAAAAGATCTATCAATATTTCTCTACCTTCTTAGCTAATGTTTGTTTTGCTTAAGACTACTCTCTCCATTAATTTATCCTCCCTTTTATTACACCCCCCCCATTTTCTCCTTTCCTTCTTGTTTCCCTGTTGAGTGAAATGTATTTCTGTACCCAACTGTGTGTATGCATTTTTCCCTCCTTTGATCAGTTTAGAAAATAGTGAGGGTCAATTGTCACTTGCTCCTCCCACCCCTTCCTCCTTGTTTGTATAGATGTCTACTTGTGCACCCTGATGATGTGAGATTTTTCCCTTTTCCTTCCTTTTACTGACCTTCCCCTTCTTGTCCTTCTTTTAAGATAATCAAACCATAACAGAACCATCCCCAGGTACCTTGTCTAATTAGATGCCCTCTCAGACCACACATGATGATAGGGTACTGAGGTTACATTTGTATAATTTCCTCATAATATAATGTAAATAGGTTTCCTTGTCCCTTGTGATTGCTTGCTCATGTTTACCTTTTTGTACTTCTCTTGACTCATGTATTTGTACTTCAGGTTTCTCTATAGCTCTTGTCTTTTCATCAGGAATGCTTGGAAGTCTTTTCTCATTAAACGTCTCTTCCCCCCCTGCAGGATTATACTGAGTTTTACTGAGTACGTTATTCTTGGTAAATCCACTTGGCAAGGGGATTATATCCTTTGCTCTCTGCTTCTTTATAATGGTGGCTGCTAAATCTTTCGTGATCCTGTGGCTCCTTGGTATCTGGATTGTTTCTTTCTGGTTGATTTAAGTACTTTTTCTTTGACTTGAAAGCTTTGAATTTTGGCTATAATGTTCCTGAGAGTTTTCATTTAGGAGTTTCTTTCAGGAAGTGGTCAGGGTATTCTTTTTATGTCTATTTTGCCCTCTGCTTCTAAGAGATCTGGGCAGTTTTCTTTTACAATTTCTTGAAATATGATGTCTTGGATCTTTTGTTTGGTCATGACTTTTAGGTAGTACAATGATTCACAAATTCTCTCGATATGTTTTCCAGGTATTCCATCACATTCATAGCCTGTAACTTATTCAGCCATTCCCCAATCATTGGGCATTCCTTGAGTTTCCAATTCTTCGCTACCATAAGAAGTACTGCTATAAATATTTTTGTTCATATGGGTCCTTTTCGTCTTCCTTTGATCTCTTTGGAGTATAGACCTAGTATCACTGAGTCAAAGGGGATGCATGTTTTTTGTTGTTGTTGAGGCAGTTGGGGTTAAGTGACTTGCCTGGGGTCACACAGCTAGTGTCAAGTATCTGAGGCTGGATTTGAACTCAGGTCCTCCTGACTCAAGGGCTGGTACTCTATCCACTGTGTCACCTAGCTTCCCCAGGGTATGCATGGTTTTATAGCTTTTTGAGCATGGTTACAAATTACTTTCCAGAATGTGGGGCCAGTTCACAGCTCCACTAACAATACAGTTACAGACCTGTTTTCTCACAGCTCTCCAGCATTTACCATTTTCCTTTTTTTTATCGACTTAGCCAATCTGATGGGTGTGAAGTGGTATCCAAGAGTTGTTTTAATTTTCACTCCTCTAATTGTTGGTGATTTAAAGCTTCTTAAATATGGCTATTGATAGCTTGGATTTCTTCCTCTGAAAACTTCCTGAGGAACTTACATTCTAACAGGGGAAGACAACTCATAAAAGGGAATTTAAAAGGGTTAGGGGGAGATGGTACTTGCTTGAGAACATGGTGACAGTAGTCCAGAGAGTCATAAGTACAGCTGGGAGGGGAATGAAACATGGCCAGCCTAGACCCATCTGTAAAATGGAGACCTTCTACTCCAGATGAAAGTTACCGATGGTAGAAGGGAGCTGGTCAATTGAGTCATGGTATAGAAATCTGGAAAGGCAGAATTATAACCTGGAGGGGAACAATAGGTGAAAGTTGCAGAGAGGTAGATTTAGACTAGATGTAAGTAATTTTCAACAATTAGAGCTTTCTACAACCAGAATAGCTGCCTTAGGAGGAACTGGGTATCCCCTTACTAGAGGTCTTCAAGTCAAGGCAGAATTACCACTTAAGAGTGTTCTAGTTGGTATTCTTGACCAAGAATGAATTGGACCACATGGCCCTGGAGATCCCTTCCAACTCTGAGATTCTTTCAGTGGAGCTTTCTCAAGTTGCTGTCCTAAGGGATCAAATTAACCAGAGAGAACAGGAAATATCCTTCTGTCTGAGTCAAAACAGAACAGGACCTGAAATCCAACAGCTTTTATCCAACCCTCTTCAAGCTTGCTCTTTCTCCCTCCCTCCTTCGCTTTCCCCACACTTCCACCCACTTAACTGCCAAGAATTTTGAGCTTGGAGAGGAAAGCTGTTTGTGCATGTGTATATTTGACTCCAACAACTGTCTATGTTTCTGTATTTGTAAATGGTCTCTTTTAGATCCTAGGCTGCTAAGGAACAGAATTTCAGTCTTTTTATGCACATGATCTTGTTCATGGGAGCAACTTGGTTATTTAGCCTCTGAAAGCTGCTATAATTCAACAGACCAGTAATCTGTGTAAGAACAGAACCTAAGAGGCTGTGTTTCTAGGAAGGGTATATCCTAATTGAGGGAGGGGACAATGTGCCTGCCTCTTTGGCAAGGGATATGCAGAGACAGAAATTTCATTGGTGGGGGGGGAGAAGGAAAGGCATGATTCTATTTTTGTTACAAAAAGGGAAGTTTGGGGAGAGGAACATTGACTTCCCTAGTTAGGTTCTCCAGTCTAGTTGGGGGGAGAAGGACTTTGTTTTTAATTCTGTGATTAATGATTTCCTCAAAAATGAATCTCTATTGTGTTCTGTTGGACCAGTTAGTAGCTTTAACTTTACTGCACAGACCAGTACTGCATGAATTTGTTGTCAGTATTGTCTGACATGACCCATCTGGGATTTTCTTGGCAATGATACTGGAATGGTTTGCCATTTCCTTCTCCAGCTCATTTTATAGATGAGGAAACTGAGGCAAACAGGGTTAAGTAACTTGCCTAGGGTCACACAGCTAGTGAAGGTCTGAGGCCAGATTTGAACTAAGGGAAATGAATATTCCTGACTCCAGGTCCAGTGCTCTATCCACTGCACCACCTAGCTGCTTCACTGCATGAAGACCAGTCTTTATTTTCTGAGCCGTCAGATTTTGAGAGTCAGTCTCTGATTTCCCAAGCACCTAATTATCATTCTGTAAGCTCATAGAGGGCAGGAAAGATAAAACTTTTGTATTTGTATCCCTATTACCTAGTGCAGTGTCTGGCATATAGTAGGTGTTTAATAAATGCTAAATGATTCTGTGTACCATTCTGGTAAAGCTTACTTAGGATCTTTAGGAAGGACAGAAAATATTTTGGATAAGAAATGGTTCATTTCTCCCCCACCCCTCTACTCTGCAAATGGGAACAGATGTATTTACAAGTGAATTCTCTCAAACATTAAAAGAATAATTAATTCCAAAACTGTAAAAGCAATTTTTAAAAATAGGAAAAGAAGGCACCCTGCCAAATTATTTCTATGATACCAATATGATCCTGATACCTAAATCAGGGAGAATCAAAACAGAAAAAGAAAACTATAGAACAATATCTCGAATGAATGTTGATGTAAAAATTTAGATAAAATTTGCAAGAAGACTACAACAACATCACAGAGATTTGAAATTATGACCAGATTGGATTAATACCCATACAAAGTTAGTTTGATATTAGGAAATCAATAAACATAATTGACCATTTGAGAAATGGCTCAGTAGAGCAGCTGTGTTTATTCTGTGTGGAATACTACAATGATGATTGTAACCTGTAACATCCCTCTCCCAAACTCAGGGTTAACATAGACTGGATCTAATCTCAGAAATTGGCCCCTAAAGTTCATTTTCTCTTTGGCTAGTTTCCTCTATCCCATGGTTTACTCTGTGACAATCTATGGTATAGATTTCCACAAATGTGGGTAAGCAGGATTCCCAAATCCTGTATAAGTGCTCAAGGTAAAAAAATTCATTATCAGGTAGAGGACAGCCTTTATTTCACCCCATAGAAAATGCTAAAGATGCAAAGGACTCATAGGAACCCATAAACATATATAAAGTACATAAAACATTTATAGCCACC